AGGAGTACTAGTAGTAGTAGTAGTATTCTCTTTGTTCAACAAGAAAACACCACCAGGGGGAAAGAAAGGGATCATTGCCAGCACAATATTGTTCATTTCATTTTTTCTTGTTATTCAAAACCACAAGACAAAAGAGAATATTTCCCATGTAATCATTTTCTCTTTGTTCAACAAGAAAACACCAGGGGGGGAAAGGGGAGCATTACCAGCAGCATAATAKTATTGTTCCTTCTTTTGTTTCTGCTTGTTGTTCAAAAGAAGAAAGAGAATATTTCCCAGGCAATATTATCTTTTGTTCACAAAAACACCAAGGGGGAAGAAAGGGATCATTGTCAGCACAAAATTGTTTCTTTCTCCCTTTCTTCTTACTATTGATAAAATAATAGATATTATTGCCTGGACAATATTGACTTTGTTAAGAACAAGCCAAGAAAAGATTGTCAATGTCTTTGCCAAAAAACAAATGGATGATGCAACAAGTACAGTAGGAGGCCAGTCATGAGCCCAACCTAGTAGTACATCCTATTATATACAAACATATTATGATACATACACCATACACTACTACCACACAAGGTACAATAAGATTACTGCTGAGCTAGGGATGCGCAACACAACAGGAGTACTTGAAAAATGATTTGTTGCAATGGTCCACAATATCTTTTTTCATCCTCAACCATTGCACTTGTATAATAAATTGTGTAATAAAATGTCTAGCATTAATATAATTACTTGATAGTACTACTACTAGTCCCATACCACCATTATGCTGTTCCTATTCACTTAYTACTATTCTTCAATGATGTGTCCATTTGTTTCTGAAACCAATCCAAATTTTCAGCTATCRTTGTATAACAGGCTTGCTGGCCAATGGATTCCAGACATTCCATTTTCACATTAGCAATGCTCAATACATACACGACTATTGATAAATAACACTACTTTTTCTTGAAACAATGACATCTCATTCTCCATGTAAAACTACATTGGTTTCCTTATTCTCTGTATCCTCTGAACTCCTCACTGAATCTAGCATTTACCACCTTCTCCACCAATTCATGAAATATCTTCTTCTTACCTTTCTGGATTGAAGTATTATGTTCACAACTAGTGAGAAATGATTCTAATATCTCTGAATCATTTATCACCATACTCTTTCTTGCCTCCTTCGAATTGGTGGAGAAGGTTTTAACACAATACATCACATGAATGGTGTGTTGGAATTTTCGATACTGAATAAGATTGTAATTCATTTTTATACACTTTAAAACCAATTCTATGTGTTATTTTGTGCAGATGGTCCTGTCAGAAAGCATTTCCTTTGGTGAGGGTRAGATGACTCTGCAGATCCAATGTGCCCAACTTGTTTGCAAATCCTTATCCGTTTGAATTCATGATCCTGCTACTACTGCTGCTGCTGGAGAAGTTATGAAATACTACTAAGTAAAAACAATACAGAAGTATACATTGTTACTACTAGTAGTAGTATCATACAGAGTTGGCTCTGAAATCTGCAACAGAATCATATATGTTGCGCCCTCCTTTTTGTCTAATRAACACTTTGACTATGACAAAACAACTGATATGCATTTGTATGACTTGCACATTTGCAGCACATGCTGCACTTTAATCCCATGGTTCGTGGACACAAATAATTTTTGTCCACATGCTCACTTGCCATTTTTTTAAGTGTTGGGTAACACAATGTTTTGCTATATTCAAGAAGTTAGGAACACTATTTTAAAGTTAGAAAGCATTTGAGTTCGTCTTGAACTCAAAGCACAGATGTTACAAACCTTTCCCCCAACCATTTGTAATGTTCAACACCACACTATTTGTAACCCTACCAAATGCATATTCTTGTCTCTTATCACTAGCAGACAGACCGGCACTGCTATTTGATGAAGTCAACTACTGATATTCCTGGAGAAATAGTACCTGTAGTAGAATTCTGTCAASTGAGTACTTTGCTATTAAAAATGAACTGCCAGTCAACTCTGCACTCTAATAGTGTAGCTATATCTTGATCCCTGGCAGTTGCATACTAAGAGTGATAGGCACATAAAATGAAAGCCAATAGAAAGAGGAATCTAATCATGTATGGGAGTGGGGAGGTSCTACAAGAACTATTAATAATAATCATTAAAAATTAACTGCAGGATAGTGTTTTTTCACCCACTATAGGATAATACTTTTAGTACTACTACTAACAACTACTACTGACCCACAAAGTAACCCATGAGGATAAATCCAGAAAATGATACAAAAAACAGAGTCAATTGGTCTACCAGAGTCATTTTTATCTTCAAAGGAGAATCACCAAGGATGTTTGATAGCTTTGAATGCAATATTTAAGAAAGAACATTCACCCTTTTTGGCTCTCCTCAGTTTGAGAGAACAAGGGCTGGTGRTGGAAATTAAGTCAAGGATCATTAATTATGACTACTACTAGTAGTAGTAACAGTACTAGCACTGGGTACTAGTACTAGAAACTTGCAGGAGGTTAGTAACCTAGGAAGAACCTGGAATATTTTACAACCTCAAAATGCATGATGTGAAAGGRGGCATTTTGGACTTGGCTGTGTGGATATGGATTTTACAACTAGAATAGGGTTTTACTACTACTAGACAGACTACAGAAGAAGAGAATGGATAGTACTTCATAACACTTAAGATTGAGTACACTAGTGACTGCCAACCAGTTCATACTATTTGCAATCTTTGACCATATTCTTACTTACTAACTGCAAGTGACCATGTCAAAAATGTAGAATTGGTAATCCAGAATAACAGAATCACACCCCCACATGCACAGTATTTAATAACTTTGGAAMTAATATGATTTTGAACATTAATTCCTCTACTAAAATTATTTACTAGTACTGAAATTGCAAAAGTGGTCTGAACGCCTCATCTTTTTAACAATAATGACCCTCAGTACAAAAAGATTCCTGTGACTGCTGGTGGCTAGWACTACTACTGATGATCATTGCCTGACACACTATTTGTTCCAACATCATTGGCATATCAAAATGACTGTTACTAGAGCCCTGCTATTTTTGTTTTCTACTTCTTGTTGTTTGCAAAGAAGACTGTATTCAGAGCATCATTGCTTTATTTTTGTTGTTCTAAAGTTTCTGGTAAATATGATTTACTTTCAGCAGATGCTAGCAGTACATCTAGTAGAACCAATTTTTCTCAGTCATAAATTTTTGATTTTTATAGAGGGAGGACCTAGTACTTATTTCTACTATCTATCAGTCTTTCAAAAAACAGAATAGAATAGAAATAGGAAATTCTTGTCAGAGGAGCTAAAATACTAGTTTCCAACAAGTGTAAACCCATTGATAGCAAAAATTAATTCTTCAAATGATGTTTGGTACAGTACTAGCACAAAGAACATGATGGAGCAATTGCCTAAAAATTGAGGAAGAAGAAGGAAATGTTGGATGAGGTGCCAGCATGACCTGAAAACTTGCAGTGGTACTATTAGTTACAATGTCATTAGTACAAGTACTATGAATATTTATTGAACAAAATCCTCTACTACACATCACAAGAATCTCATCCATCTGGTAATTTCTAATTGTAAAATAGAGGACTACTGTACCTGTTCTTGCTGCTTACAATTAGTAATAGTAGTACTGATCTACATCATGGGTAGCAATAGGGCTACTACTACTASTAGTAGTACTAGTAATACTATTGATGGGGGCTGGAAATATGGACCAGCTTGCTTTTGAACAAGCAATACTACTACTGGTAGTACAGGTGGTAGTAATGGTAGCTTTTATAGTGGTTGTACCTACTAGTACTGATAGTAGTAATGGCTCTGGCGAACAGGACGAAAAAGCAAGGACGAGGACAAGATGAAAAAGACGCCCCTCACTAATTGTAGTATCAGGTGTTTACCACTAATCGAATCGACAACAAATCAATATGGAACACTCTCGAGTCGTTCAAAGAAATCATATCAAGTGCACTTTTTTGACAACATGAGGACTTGAGTTGCTGAGTATGAATACTTTCGAATTACTTCAAGTGTACAAGCTTCAACAAATATTCGTGAATACAACCACTACTTGTATGKGCTGATTGAACTCCTAAAAGCACAACGTAAGCCACAAAAAAATGATATATTATCCCTATTATCTTTCACATCGAGAACATAAAATGGTCTTTACCTCAACTTTTTCCAACGTCGAAGCGTGGGATGAGTCGAGACTATCGAAGGCGAAAGATCATACAAAGTGACTTGTTCTAAGAAGATACAGATTCTAGAAACCAAAGTCTGACGAAGGACTCGCTCCACCCACTTCGTAGTTTTGTTCGAGCTGTTGCATGATTTCTCTCTCTGCGTCGAAATCTACTGTTTGTTCCACAGACTGGGTTCTTCTTCTTTCCTCTTCTCGCACCTTCTGGCGCTCCTCCTCCGCCTGTCTCTCGTTTTCTTCTTGAAGGCGTGCTTCCTCTTCAATTTCTGCTTGTCGCAGTGCTTTGATCTCTTCCCCGTGTGCTACAGCCTTAGCCAAATTCCTTTCTTTCTGCTGTTCTGCCTCAGCCTTCAACTTTTCCTCACGCTTTTTCTTGTCCTCTTCACGAGCAGTCGCCGCCACGGCTTTTTCCCTGGCGGCACCCCAATCGTCATCAACATCCCCATCCTTCTTCTCTGTTTCTTCCTCAAGTTTTGAAATATTCCAGCTGGTTGCCCCGCCATGATCACTATCCGCATCATCCTTATCCTCGTCCTCATCGTCATCGTCTCCCAATCCAGCAAGTTGAAAGTCTTTCGAGGTGTCTTGAGCACCCGATTGTGCTTCAGTTTCCTGTTCCTCGTCTTCGCCGATTTCACCTTCGGATTCAGAGTCGCTGTCTTCTTCGTTGCCGAACGAAAAGAAAGAATCCGACTTGGGTTTTTCAGCAGGCGCAACGGGCGTGGCAGCGGGCGATTGTTCTTTTGCAGTTTGAGCTTTTCTGCCCTGAGCAGCTTTCTTGCTTGCTTGAGAGGGCGCTTTTGTCTTTTTGGCCGCCTGTTTCTTCTGTCGCTTTGGCTTGTGAAACTGGATCCACAAAATCAGCGATGATGAAACGACGTGAGAAAAGAAAAATCTGGAAAAAATGTTGGATCCGATTTGGATATCCAGTTCTTACCTTTGTGACGTAATTCCAGAGCTTTCGTTGAGTAGACGTATCAAATTGATCGATTTCCATGTCAATTTCTTCTTCTTCACCAGTGAGTTTAGCTGCTTCTCTAATGATTTGGATCAAACCGAGCATGTTATCTGGGTGAATCTCTGGAATTGTTGTTGTCAGGAATTCTTGTTCAGCTAACGTGAGTGGTGTGCTGTCGTCCTCTACGATGGCTGGTTCAGGCTGCGGTTTCCTCTTCTCAGTAGGCTTAGGTTGTTCCGTTTTTTTCTTCGCCTTTTTCTTGTTGCCACCAGCACCACCGCGTTTACTCGAAGATGAAGTAGCACCCGCTGAGTCAACACCATCGTATAAGCTTCGACGAACGACACCACTTCCGGGATCATCGGAAGATAACTCGGCAAGGGCTGTATAAGTTTGAACGACTTGGTGCTGTAGTTTCTGAATCATTCCGAGCATAATGTTGAATTCTTTTCGTGTTACGCCATTGTCGGTTGWGGAAGGGTGGGGCGCTGCCCCGATAAGTGATGTCATTGCTTGGCTGTTGGCCAGGGCCATTTCATGTGCCTCGTCGAGTCGCCTTCGTTTCATGCTTTTCGTTTCCTCTTCTGATCCCTGTCCTCCGACACCTGTTCCACCTCGTTTACGTTTTTTGTCGCCCTTCTTGCTCTTGCCATCTTCCTGAATTCCCACGCGTCGCAAATTAGCTACTTGACGCTCGACGTCACGATATTTCTGGTTGAACAAGATCAACAAGTTCCGTGCAGCCTGATGCACGGAATGACTTGGATCAACATTGAACATGACAGCATTCTCAAATATCAAGCGACACAAGCGAGCGAATTCTTCGGGAGATTTCACTTCGTTCGCTTCCATCTTTTTGTTCAGGGTCCGCAGATCCATTGGTTCCTTGATGACCTGGTGATACGTGGGGATATTTAATGCAATTGGATCAACTGGCTCACTGAAGAACGCCCCCATCTCCACGTCCTTCTCTCGAATAATCCGCAAAAGTACATTGCATTTATCCATAATCCTCGAGAACTGAGCATCGGGATCCTCGTCTTCTAGTCGAGATGGAACCTTGACTACGCGTGTGGATTCCCTTCGACTCATTGAGCCATATGTAGCTCCGTTATTGCCAGCACCTCCACGTGGTGGACCTGGCATCATGGTTGAATACGAATTACCCCCTTGTGCTCCCATGTTGCCAAAATTTTTGGCCGCCAATGCMGGRGGTAGATTCGATCCTGCAGGAAGCCCTGTCGATTTCTTACCCTTGGTTTTTGAAGGCGCCGTCGTTTGAACTGAAGAAAGCAGTTCTGGTGGATACACGCGATAGAGTTCGACTTGTCCGCCAGTTTTGCCACTCGCAATGAGAGTTCCCGTCAGATTAAAAATACCGATAGAGTTGACACCTTTTCCGTATACATTGAAGGTTCCAGCCGTGTTTTCTCTGAATTTCATTACGACTTGCGTGTCGATAATCGTTTCGTATCTCGATCCACCTTTCTTCAGCTGGAATGACCCCTTGTACTTATCTGAGTCCACGGGAAACAAACGGCCACTCGTAGTACTTTCGCTGTTTTTTATTGCTTCTTCAGCGTGGTGCGCTTCCAACCGAACGGTGAAATTGCTCGTTTGGCCGCTTGAAAAATGTTCGCGGGTCATAGCCCATTTTCCTTTGCACGCATGTGACCCATCTTCGTTGACCCTGAGCACACCACGAGATACGGCCGAATACGTCGTGTGTTCAAGAGGTTTCAGGGGTTCGGCGAGGGTCCCGTCATCGTCTCCCGGAATGTCGACATCAGTCAAACTCAATTGTTTTGTCGCCGGTGCAGCACCTGCAGAACCATAATGGGGAGAAGCAGTTCGTGGCTGCCCCGGAGCATTGAGAGGTGGGGGTGCGGAAGTGACCAGCAATCGGCTGCTCGCACTTCCCGAAGAGCTTGCCAACGATGCCTTCGTTTTTTTCGGTATGAAATGGCGGAAGATCGTTACGATGTTGTCCTTGGTCAAGGTTCCCGTAATAGTGTACTTTCCGAATGCATTACTACCCTTTCCTTCAACGTTGTGGTAACCTGCATTGTTCTTTCGGAAGCGCAGAGTAATATCCTTCTCGTTAATTTTTGTTTTCCCGCCTTGCTCGTTGTCTAGATTGAACCAACCACTATACCTCCCTGATACAGGAAAGGAAGCATTGGGGTTGGAACTCTTGTGCTCGTACTCGAATTTGTTGCACAGACCCCGTATATTTTCGGGATCGGATACCATCAGGTCTAATCCGGACGACCACATCCCGGATATTTTGTGAATCAAATTATCGGACGAGACCAAGAGTGGGTCGAGGAGTCCATCGTGTTCCCCGTCCGTTCCCCGCGTCAATTTTCCGCGCAAACAGACAACGTTCTTGTCGTACGAAACCGATGGCGGTGGTAACTTGGAAGGGTCGCTTTCGTCAAAGTTTGAAGAGCCTCCTTTCATGCTATTCTTTTTCTGTTTCTTCGACTTTTTGGCACCGCCAGTGGCACTGCCGGTGGTACTAGCCCCGGCGGCAGCCGTCGCTTGAGCATCGTATCGTTTTCGCAATTCAATTTGGTATTGGCCATCTCCGTGCTTGGTAGGTTTCGCAGTTCCATTGATGTGAAAAATACCAAATTGATTCGCCCCGGTTCCGTCTACCTTGTATTCCTCGCTCCCCTTTTCATCGGACTCCTTCTCTTCTATTTTTGTAAACTTGATTTTCACCCCCGACTCAGCAATAACCCTGGAACGCTCTTTCTGTTTCCCCTTGCTAGTGGTGTGGAAATAAGCCAGGGTGAACGATCCATTGAACTCGCCGTCTTTAGGAAGAGTCGTCAAGTCTGTTTCGTCGTCCGGTAGATTTCGAACGAGTTCGAATTTCTGGGGAGGAAACGCATTGGAGTTTTCGAAGTTCCACATTCCTCGAATCAAGTGCTGCCTGGGTTCTGAGTTGTAAGACAAGGTACCTCGCAGTACGGGAAGACTTGGTGCCGGTGCCGCTGCTGCTCCATTCGAGGCAGGAGTTGTGGTGGCACTGCTYGAATTGTTGGAGGAGCTAGAWTCTTCTACCTTAACGTCCTTGCTTTTGTCAGCAGCAGAAGCATCCTTCATCTCAACATCCTTGTCTACTTTTGTGTCTTGCGATTCCTTCTTGACTTCTCCGTTCTCCTTCGCAGAAGAGGACGATTTTCCGTTCAATTCGTCGCTGTTACTCATTGTAGTGTCGGTGGTAGTATTTGTAGGCGTATTTTCCCCGTCTATCTTGTCCATTGCATTCTAAAAACTTAATTCGGATCCAATAGTAATAAGTATGTTGTGAATAAGACTAGACAGATGGGTTGCTGTGTTCTGGAAATTGTTGTGTAGTATGGCACTAAATGTGTGATTGTGGAGTGAATGGAATTGTTTCTGTTTTTCAATTTTTGTTGTTGTGTATGTATGTATGTTTGTTTGTTTGTTTGGATTGTATGAAGTAATAATGATACTGTTTGAWTWGTACGAAATGAATAGCGATGATCCCTTGATCGTGTGATGATGTGCGATATGTAATACAGGTATGATACGGTAGCTTAGATGTATTCGATAATCTTTTTGTTGCGTCCTTGATGCATTGTTTATCGGGGGAAAAGGTAGGACGTAGGTAGGTTGATCGTTTGTTTTGTATTCTTCGTCTACGTTTATCTTACAACGGTAGATATCCTTTTAGAGWTTTACTAAGTGAGGAGTTAGGTCCAATGAGGTATCCAAGGTATGTAGTGCCGTGTGAATCCTTTCAGTCCTGAAGCCGAAAGCACTCGATAGACGAATGCGATATGCGGAGGTTGTCTCGCAAGATTAAAAAAACGCAACAAAACCGTCGTTAAACTCAACAAGAGGACTGTCTGGGACCATGGCTGCAAACCTACGGATAGTATCCCGTAGAGCTCTGGTACATATTTTTCCAATCCTCACATCTGCTGCATTGCCGCGCTCGAATGTGCTGAAAGGCACTTGCTGCCGGAAACCACGCCGCAAGTTTTTTCTCCTTCACCCACGAATGGATGGCAGGAACGCGTTGCATCGATTGCGCATTCGTGCGTGCAGGCATCACAAGAGGAAAAACTATCCATCGATGCCCCTACCGGTATGGCTCTGCACGCCATGCGCGCTCATCTAAGTAAAAAGTCGAACCGACTACCGTACGTCATTTGGGTCAAAATTAGCTTTTGTTGTCTCACAACCAATCAATCTTCCTCGAGGGTGGTCGCAGGACGGACGTCATTCGTAAACACCACGTTTCAAATTTTCAAAACAATGCRATACCGGTTTGACGTACTATCAACGGCTCGTTCAAAAATTAATTACACAACGTAGCGTCTCGTACTTCGTGAAGCAATAGTACCGGTACGTACCATTTAGTACCATGTTTACGTWGCACCTGGTACCTACCGTGCTGGATTTCGATTCCGTACAAGGAAGTACAGTATGGTACGAGGAACAAAGGCAGTTGTGTGGCATGAATCTAAGAAAGGTTATGATTACAAAAAACGCGAACGGGTTAATTCCGAGGAGTAAAATTACAGCTACATGAATTTTTGCCACCTACTAGTACTAGTACTGTAACTTTGGCTGACTACTAGTACTAGTAGTTCTAAGAAGCTGCTAGTAGAGCATCCTTTGGCTTCTCAATGAATTGGATCTCTAAGTAATTGTATCATCTTGGTCTAGGTACTTAGTCTGGTGGTCTAGTAAAAATGTTTTTGATAGAGTTCTGCTGCTGGTTGCCTACTACTACTACTCCTCTAGTACTATGTAGTACTACTAGTAGTAGTACTACTATGTAACCAGTCTTGCTCGGAACCGGCCAATTTGGGCTCTAATTGTGTAACAATGACACACAGCAATCTTCTTAAAACTATGGCTGAGCATATCCCCAAAGGGGATCTCAGTAGAGGCCTTTCCGGGGGAGCTGTTCTTGTGTTTCTTAGTAGTAGTAGCTGCTATTTTAGCTCATTGAATTGATTGTAGTCCAAAAAGTGACTGAAAACTAGTAGATCTATGTAGGATGTCATCAGTACTGAAATACTGGCCTTCAAAATTAACCATGGTTTTACGACTAGTACTAATAATTTTCAGGGTTTGAGTACTGTAATGCCTGCCTTTTTGCCCAGTAGAGTGCAGTAGGGTTTTTACGGTTAACACATTTTACTCTGAATTAACTTGTAGTAGTTTTTAGTAGTCAGAAAAAAATCAGTACAAGAAGGCTTGTCTAGCCCCCAGATAGAGCTATTATCAACACTTCCAGGGCCCTCTGGAACCAACATGTACTAGGCATCCCCCCTTCTTTGCAATTGAACATTAGGGGCATTATTTCACTGTTACTATTGTTCTTCCAATGAAACAACCCACCACAATCCAACAACATAGGTTATTTTTCACAAAAAATAACCCATGTTTTAAAATGTGGGTTCCTGGGTTACTAACCCATGAATACTAACCCATGAAATAAGAACCCACAAAATAACCCACGAATAACCCACAGATAACCCCGTCACAAAAAGTGATCGCAACCTATCACGTGCCCTAGCGTCCCTTTATTTTGTATTCCRAACCCCYCCCCCCYTTTTTTTCCCACCCCATCCCCCTCCRATTCACGTCTTAATGGTCGCGTTTTTGGTCAACAGTTATTCTGTGAGGTTGGGAGCATGATGTTGCCAATCGAGAAAGGTTGTGAGGGGTTGTTACACTGTGACAGGCACCCATGTCTGTTTGCCAAACAACCAGATTTTTCCGTTGCTCAACCATTTGTTAGTAACAACTCCCCATCATGGTACTGGTTTTTTCTCTACGTAAGCACCAAGTACAAGAAATATTTAGTATTCTTTTTACTTTTGAATGGATTGAAACGGAAATCCTAATCAAAAAGGAAACCAAAAACCGAAACTGACACAAAAACAGTCAACAAACTATTCATCTGTGCAAAGCAGTTCTGGTTTATATCCCTCATGGGTACATCTTTACGAACTTATAGATGTGTTTCTACACGCTAACAGGTCCACAATGTTGGTGTCCTGTCTTGAGTTGTTGTGGTGTTTGAATTTCAGATTTGWACTACTGGTGTTCGGAGAAGGAAATATTTGCCGCATTTCTCTTCTCCGRACCATCTCATAACGCAGAAACATTGTCACTGTACTACATTTCAAGTTTCTTTTTCTAACTTATCCTCATTCCAAACAAACTCATCAAGATGAATCTGCTGGGCCTATTTTCAAAAATTAAAAACAGTGATTAATTACGGTTAGCTAATGACTAAAATACTTAACATCATTGGTTCTCTATCAACCCATATGACTGTAAATTTGTGGGCTATTTGTGGGTTCCTGGGTTCTTTTGTGGGTTATTTTCCAAATAGAATAACCCACATTTTAGAAACATGGGTTATYTCTCCCATGAAATAACCCAGAATCCAAAAACATGGATTATTTTTTGTCACTAAAAATAACCCACATTTTTCTAGGAGAGGAATTTGAAAAGGGGGATGTGCGCATGGTGGGAACTGGAGGGGCCAGCCCACAAGAAATGTACTGAAATAACTTCATTAGAACAAGGGGATGTGGAAGTCTCAGATTGATCAGCCAAGAAAGTTTTTTTAAAGAGTCCACATCCGTATCATTAGTAAGAATGAATCTGTACTACTATCAGCAACTTGTTGTTGTACCAACTTCTTCCTAGGTAGAAATTAGTAGGTATATTGATACAAAATAGTTTTTTTWAATTTCAAAACAGGTTAAAATTGCAAAGGCAAATGCGGTGTATTCTTGTTCTCTGTAGTAGAGCCTTGTAAAATTTGTTGTACTACTGGCTCCAGACCTGTCTCCACCTCATTAGGTTTTGTTCCTTGTACTACTGTATGTRCTGTGTCATACAGTAGGTGTTACAGTACTTAATTGGGGTTCAAATTTACAGACTGGTAGGCCATCTTCTATTTGACTTCTTAGGCCCAATCAACAAAAAATATAAGGAGACTTATAGTTGTTTCAGGCAAGTAGTACACTAGTACTACTAGGAGTAGTGGTAGTATTACCTACTAGTACTGGCACTCCTTCTTCTTCTTGCAGTCACCATTGTTCATCAGTATTCCTTTATTCAACTTGTTTGTTCTTTCTGGTAGTAACTTCATTCTTATTGCAAGGATCATAAAGCTTCCTAGTATACCCAACAACAAGGTAGATAACATTATGATGTCATACCCAACCCCTACTGCTATCTGACTGGTGGTGGGGGTGAGGATTCTTGTTGTATATCTAGCATACTTCTTGACAAGATTAAGAAGATATTTCTTCAAATTGAGATTAAAAACATCGAAGGCACAATATTAGGATTTATAATGTTCAAAAACAAGGTTGTTGGTCATGAATTACTACTATTTGAATGTTTGATTCACATGATCCAATTGTTTCTTGTTGTTGTTTGAGTTCTTGTGGATGTTTCTGTACTTCACTTGTGGAAAAAACTCTTGCTTCTTACAGCAATCCCTTCCTGATTTCTGAAATGGTTGATTGCTTGTTGCAGTACATTTAAATATATGGGAAGGTATAGCATAAGATCTAAGTTCATTAGAGAAGAACCCACACCTAGGTGGTGGTGGTGTGGTGGACTCAAAACAACCTGGGTACAGTACTATGCATTAATGAGATATCATCTGCCTCAAGAATACTTGCAGTAGTAATAATTTTCTGAATTCTTACAAATTGAGGAAACCACCACCACAAACAAATTGTGTTGGAAGAAGTAGTGACAAAAATGTGCAAACAGGGTCACACATTGGGATTTAATTTTTAATGTGCGTGCCGGAGAAAAAATTATAATGGAAATGTTAGCGCCAAATGCATCTTAAAAATAAGAATGTGTGTCTGAATCAAGATTTTAGATTTTGAAGTGATGGAGGAAAATTTCAGAATATTGACTATGATGAGTATGATAAAACAATGAAATGTACTAATTTAGTTGTCCGTAGATTATAGATTGATAACTACTAGTACAACGTGTGTTTCAAAATAGACCTACTACTGTATTTCACAGTTTATTGAAAGAATACTGAAGTACTGTAATTCAAAACCAGGTCACAGTCAGATTTCCCAACCAAGCTTCCAATGCATTTTTGTCAACTTCATACTGATGGCTGTTATTTCTGACGCTACTTTGACTGTTTTTCTGACGGCACAATGGCATTCGGTT